GAAGGAAGGAAGGAAGGAAGGAAGGAAGGAAGGAAGGAAGGAAAGAAGGAAGAAAGGAAAGAAGGAAAGGGGATGGAAAGATGTGTTATATACATACACCAGCTGCCCACAAGGAATGTAATCGTCATGCGCTGCAAACATGTACTAATAAAAAGACCAAGTGACCTTCGGTGTATGAGACTTTTCTCTGAACTCATTTTATTCTGTTAGTATGTGGGGGTTTGGGGAAGGTGGTGGTCAGCTCTTGTTTCTGGGCTTTTTTCTGGGAGTTGAACCTGTGGCCTTGGACAGGCTAGGCAAGAGCTCTACCAAGGAGCTACATCCTTGCTCCTGTTCTGTTGCTTATATGTCCACCCTTCTGCTAGTCTTACACAATTTAGGTGGAAGGTGTGGCGGGAGGAGAAGAAAGAGAAGACGGAAAGAGACTGATCTTTTATTAGGACAGCACACACTGGGTTTTTCTCCAATCAGATTTTATTGGTACATTTTAGATATACATAATGGTCACATTCATCATAGATAACTTGTATCTGTACATGATATAACTTGCTTCTTTTTTTTTCTACTCAGACCCTCCCTTCAATCCCTCCCCCCCCCCATGTATAAAAGCTTTATTTCCTTTTTTTTTTTCTGGTACCGGGAATCAAACTCACGACCTTGCGCTTGCCAGGCAGGTGCTGTGCCACTGAGCTAAATCCCCAGCCCCTTATTTCCTTTTTTCTTTTCTCTTTTTTTTTTAACTTTTCTGTCCTTCCCTCCTTCCTTTCCTCCCTTCCCTCTCCCTTGGTTCCCTCCCCATTTGAACATTTTCTTCCTATTTCACAATACCTACATATATTGTGGTCCTTATTTACACTTTTGGTTTCTCACACCAGAGAAACAATGCGGTATCTGCACGTGTGTCAAGTTTATTTCACTTAAGAGTGGTCTCAAGGTGCACTCATTTATTTAGAAATGTCTTAAGCTTATCCTTCTTTATGGCAGAGTAGTACTCCACTGTAAAAAAAAAAACCAACCACATCTTCTTTATCCATTCACCAGTTGATGAGCATTTGGGCTGTTTTCAAGATTTGGCTATTATAAACTGTACTACTATAAACATAGGTGTGCATGTATTGCTGTGATGATTTTAATTCTTTCAGGAAGACACCAAGAAGGGGAATAGTTGGGTCAAATGGAATCTCTAGTGCTAGTTTTTTGAGGAGTCTCCACAAGGCTTTCCACAGTGGTTGCACCAGTCTGCACTCCCACCAACAGTGGAAAAGGATTCCTTTTCCCCCACAGCTCCACTAGCATTTGTTGTTGTAGGTTGATTTCTTGATAACAGCCATTCTTTCTGGTGTGATGGAATCTCAGTGTAGTTTTAATCTGCATCTCTCGAATGACCAGTGATGTTGAACACTTTTTCATATATGTATTTGCTGTGTGCACTCCTTCACCTGAGAAGTGCACACAGTTTTGATTACTATATCCGTGTAATAAGTTTTGAAATTAGAATGGATGAGTCCTCCCATTTGTTCTTTTTCAGAACTGTCTTGGCTATTTAGGGTTCCCTGCAATTCCATATGAATTTTATTATCAGTTTGTCATTTGAATCGTTGATCATTTTGAGGGTATTGCTATCGTTAACATGATCAGGTCTCCATAAATAGGGGCTCTCTTTCCATCTTCTTATTGGTTTGTATTGTTTTGTTTTGTTTTTCCAGTACCGGGAATCAAACTCACAACCTTGCGCTTGCCAGGCAGGTACTTGCACCACTGAGCTGTATCCCCGGCCCTTTCCATCTATTGAAATTGATGACATTTGTGGTTTTCAGTTTACAAGTCCTAAACTTCTAAGCATTCATTCCTTTTAATGCTATTGTAAGTGGAACCGGTTTTTAATTTCATATTTATTTATTTATATTTGGTCTTTTTGAGACAGGGTCTCGCTATGCAGTTCAGGCTGGCCTTGAGCTCACTCTGTAGCCCAGGCTGGTCTTGAACTTCCAACGATCCTCCTGCCTCAGCCTTCCGAGTGCTGGGATTCCAAGCGTGCGCCACCACGCCTGGCTTTGATTTCATTTTTAGATGGCTCACTGCTAGTTTACAGAAAGGTAACTGATGTATCCTGCAACCCTTGCAAACTTGGTGGCTTAGGGTTGGTTTCTTTAGGGTTCTTTAGTATTTTCTATAAGCGAAGTCATGTGATTTGCAAACAGGGATAATTTTGCTCCTTTCTTTCTAATCTGAAGGACTTGACAGTTCTGGTTTGCCTGTGGATTCTGCCACAGGGATGCCACCAGGAAGTCCTAGAGCTCCATCCACCAGCAGAGGCCTGCAAAGAGACACCGGTGAGCTCAGGAGGACAGAAGCTTGCTCCCTAAAGAAGAGTGATCAGGGGGCAGCAGGGGGTAGCACTGGGCCCTGTAGGGTCTCCAAAGGCTGGTCTCAGCAGGCACCATGGGCCACAGTGCAGGCAAACCTCTGGGTAATGCCCTGAGGAGGGAGCGGCCACCCCGGGATTTCACAGCGGAAGAGTTGGATAGGTGCACTGTGGAGAAGAAAGGGTGCTGCCTGCTCTGCTCCCTGGTAGCACCCCGAGCACCCAGAGTTACAGCAGCAGAAAGCCCAGCACCGGCTGAGAAGGCGGCTGCAACTGTTGGTGAAGTCGCTCAGCAGCTCTTTCTCTGCAGTGGGGGAGCTGACAAAACAACCAGAGGGCAGGGATCCCCCTTACAATCTTCTTCCAGCTTTTTCCTTTCTACTTGGAGTTGATTTTGGAGAAGCCATGCCTTGTACATGTAGCTGGAAACAGTGGATTTCATCTTTAGCTGTGGTCATCTACCTGATGTTCATGTTCATTGTGGTTCAGGTTGTGTGTGTGTGTGTGTGTGTGTGTGTGTGTGTGTGTGTGTGTGTGTTCACAGAAATTGAAGGTTGGAATATACACCAAGACTTGGTTTACAGCTGGAATCTTTTTGCGGTTGACTATCCCTATACCACTTTGGGTGATACTACCACACTTAAGGCATTATACACAACCTGAACTACAAAAACCAGTAACAGGGATTCTTTGGGTAGTACTCACATAGAGTTTAGATAGTTGGAGAGCTTTGAAATGCCCCAGCATTGCCATATGTGTGGACACCTGCAGATAATGCTAAGAAGCTTCTGTCATTTACAACTTTATGGGATCCCTTACCATTATCTAACTAATGGAGATCCAAATGTGATATGAGTCCTTGAAGCCAAAGATCAGCAGAAACATTTCCCTCCGTTATGGTAGTGCTCACCATGGTCTCTGGGAGAAAACTTTGCTACTTAGGTGTAAACTGGGTGTGCTGCAATACACAGTCGTCAGACCATTCTCCACCATTGCTGCTTTTATCTCTGAACTGCTTGGTATATATGAAGGCAATTTTAGCTTTGCAGGTGCTTGGACTTACAGTACTTGGTTATGATAATGTCACAACTGTTTGCCATGTACTGCTTCCTATTCTATAAAGTTCTAAAGAAAGAATCAAGTCCAGTTCAACCTGTTGGAAAAGTTCTCTGTGTAAAGTCGGGGTTTCTTTCTTTGTTTCTTTTTGGCAAGCAGCAGGTATTGCCTTGTTAGTAAAAGCTGGTGTTATTTCTTTTTTTTTTTTTTTTGGTTTTTCTTCAGTACCGGGAACTGAACTCACGACCTTGCGCTTGCCAGGCAGGTGCTTTGCCGCTGAGCTAAATCCCCAGCCCAAGCTGGTGTTATTTCTGAGCACCATACACGAGAGTAGCACACTGTAGATGCTGTGGCCACAAGACTCCAGGACTTTATTTCCTGTACCGAAATGTTCCTCATTGTTATCACTCCCCACTACTCGCTCTCCCGCAAACCTTCTGTCCAAGAAGCAGAAAAAGGCTCCAGCTTTGATTCATTTCTTGCCATGCAGGACACTTCAGATATCAGAGATGGTATCTCTGAACAAGTAAGGCGTGTTGGACGGACAGCCTGGGCCCTTCTAGGAAAAAGATTTTTTGCCTGAGAAGCAAGATGAAAATGAACATACGACCTTGTTATCATCATCATCATCATCATCACAAAATGCAATTTCCATTTCCTCTTCTACGCCACCTCCACCCACGGGCCACTATCAAGGGTTTAGACACACCGTGACTTCTCAGACTGCGCCCACAGTGGCTCAGATAGCAGGTCTTACTGACCCAATAGCAGAGGAGAAAAGGGCCTTCAGATAAATCTGGGGCCCCTGAACAGTGTGCAAAAAGTAAACTGTGCTTCTTCCACGCTGTTTGATTACCTGCTGCCCCACAGCTCATGATATTGAGCTTGGGACAAGGCATAATGATGGAAAGTTTCAGCACAGATAGGGGGAAAACTAGGTACAGCTATTGGATTTATACGTGTGAGTGTTCCGTGTCAGAGAGACAGTAATCAGCCTAAACTTCCTAGACTTCAGGCTTGATTTTTTAAATTTTTTTTCTTTTGTGGTACCAGGAATCGAACTCAGGACCTTGCACTTGCCAGGCAGGCACTTATGCCACTGAGCTATATCCACGGCCAAGACTTGATTGTTTTTAAATTTTTTTCTTTTTTTTTGTCCTTTTGAGACAGGGCATCACTATGCACTTCAGGCTGGCCTTGAGCTCACTGTGGCCCAGGCTGGCCTCGAACTCACAATGATCCTCCGGCCTAACCCAAATACTAGGATTACAGGTACGTGCCACCATGCCCAGCTTTTTTGTCTTTTTGAGACGTGGTCTAAATATGTAACCCAGGCTGGCCATGAACTTGCAATCCTCCTGCCTCATCCTCTCAAATGTGCCAGTGCTACCACACCCAGCATTGGCCTTATGATTTTAAGGAAGATTTCACATGTGTAGTATTCTAAAGTGGGAAAGGGAATCTGTGGTACAGGGGTTGAGGCATTTTCTCCTGGTGAAGAGACAACTGTTGAAACTGAACATGGTTCAAGGTCTTGAGTTAGAGCCCTACATTTACAGCCTCGGACAAGTTCCAGGATATCTCCTGTCTCTTTCTCTCTCTCCTCTCCCTCATCCCCAGGGTCCTTGTGAAGGTGCACTCTGGACTAGGAACTGGGATATGAGCGATGGATCCTTCGACAGTACCTTTCCTTCACTCCAGCTGTCTTTCCTTTCTTCCCTTCACTTCTCTGAGCCTCCTCTGTGGCATGAGAGAGAGAAGCCGGTGGGGTCTGAGTCCCAGCACATCTTGTGACAGAGGCTGCACCAGGCCCAGCCCAAAGGAGCATTTCCCTTCTGCTGTCCCCAGGAAGCTACCCAGAGGCCTCCCTCCCGCCCTCCGCAGAGGGCCTCCTGCTTTCACTTCCTGGAGCACCGCGAGGGTCAGGGCCGGACTGTGCATTTCACAGGCGTAATTCCCTCCAGTCCCACACGCAGCGTCTTCCAGGTAGTCTTCCTCTACCTTAGATGTGAGCTTAGCACACGTGTTCCTCTTCCTAACACACACTTCTACATGTTTCCAGGAGGTTGCTACTGGCAACCTTTGTCATTGCAATTTATCTGGCATCTTTTAAAAATCGTTTTTTTTTGTTGTTGTAGGAAACACATAATAATAAACATACATCCATTTATGAAATAGGATAGGAACATTACAAACTTTACACAGTTATGGATAGATTAGTAGGAAAATATCAATGGCTGCTGTAATACATGGTGGTATCTTCAAAGTGGTTTCTCAGGAAGACAGAGATATGCAAGAAGGATCTAATAAGTAGTTACAGCCTAAGGGTTGTCAAAAATAGCAGATTACCTCCTCACCAGTGACTCCTTTCACTGAGGTATGATGGCTGGAAGGAAGGGCAGGATTGAAAAGAAGGACTGAGAGACTTGCACCTGTGTCTAGCAACAGGCTGTTTTCTTGTTCCTCCATAGTCATGATTACCCAGGGCTCCTCGATGGAGATGACAGTCTGGCCAGAGGGAGAAGGCAGACCATGCCCCAAGCCCTCTCATTCCTGTTGGAGTAATTGGTAGCATGGGTCTGAGCTCTGGGGCCTCCACCTCAGAGGGCAGACCGATTTCCAGTGGTCTCCTTTGCATCCAGGGAATGGCCCATGGGGCCTCTTAGGGCAGTTCCTCTTGAGGTGGCCTGGCTTTTAACAGTGGTAGCAGATGAATGCAGTTGTCGAGTTCTTCTTGGAGCCCCGGGAATCAGACCTGGGATCTGTTTCTCTTAGTGGTGCAGCAAAAGCAGCTGCTTTTTCTCAGTCTCTTTGTTTTCTCTCCTTGGCCTCCTCCTCATCATGGCTATAGAATACTGAGGAGGCAATTCTTACTAACATCTCAAGTGAGCTATCTGGGGTGAAAGCCATTCTTTGTAGCTTTTTCTCTCCAGCTTCCCATTGCTTTGGGACCCCACAACCAGTTAGTGTCCTCTCCCCAACTGTCAGCACAGGCAGCAGGAATCCTGTTGCAGACTTCTCCGGAGCTCCACCACAGCCTGTACTGTCAGGGGAAGAATGGCTTCCAATGAGTCTCTGCAGGTATTGTGCAAGGTCCTCCTGGTTTACACCTTGCGAGCGGCTCTCGTGACACCAGTCCACTGGACCTCTGACTCTGTGGGCGTAGTCTGCATTCTCATGTTCTCTGAGTCCTTGTTCAGCAGCTGCTCCTCTGCTGGCTCTGGACCTTTCTGGTTCCCAATGGCAGGAGCAAGAGTGGCCCATTGTATGGCATGTATTCCCAGGGGTTGTTCAAAGTTTCAATGATTCACACACATCCATGGGTGGGCAACTGCAGTCGGTGCATGGCGGGACAATTGTGTCACTGTTTCTCTGTGTCATGATAGATCTCAATTGAGCGGCGGTGGCTGGCCTAAGGGCCGGCGCATGGCCCACCCTCCGGGAGCCAGCAGGCAGGAAGCTAGCCAGCCAGAAGACGGGCACTCCCCACCCGAGGCTCCCTGTGCGCTGGAAGCCCTCCTTCCGGGGAACGACTAAAAATCGTTTTATTAGAGCTTCCTTTCCAGGTTGGAGACACTTGACCTTTAGCTCTGAGGCACATTCGTGGTGTGAGGCTGTGAACTGAGCCAGACACGGGTGTCAGGGTCCCGCCCCCCCTGCACTGCAGCGGTGGAGAGAGAACTCTGCACAAGCACCCAACCACAGGTCGTCAAGGGCCAAGGATGCTTCATGCCACGTGGGTCTTGCTCAGCAGGTGTCCGGGGAAGGCTTTTGACTAGGAAGGTGACCGGATCCATCCTGAGAACGGGCACAGACTCCAGTGCATGAGCCTGGAGCCGTGGGGACGGAGAGAAGTGTGACTCAGACAGAAATCAAACACATCAAGGATGGTAAACAGGAAAGAAGTGGACAGAAACCGCCCAGGGGAAGTTGGAGAACACGGTCAATTAAGAATCACGATGCGTCCTTTGCCATTATCTGGGGTAACTCTCTCACACGCTTTTTTGTTTGTTTGCTTGTTTGTTTGTTTGAGACACAGTCTCTCTATGTAGTTCAGGCTGGCCTTGAACTCACTATATAGCCCAGGCTGCTCTTGAACTTGTGGCAATCCTTCTGCCTCAGCCTCTCCAGTGCCAGAATTACAGGGGTGCACCACGACGCCCAGACTTGCTCACACTTTAGCATACGCGCTGCTGAAGCAAGTGCATCCTCCCACCTCAGAAGAGGCAGTGAGGACCGAAGACACTGTCTCGCTGGCCAATCAGGGCGAGTCCGGGCTGTGCTGCAGTGGCAGACAAACACCAGAGCATCCAGGGCTTCAGGCAGAGGTTTATTTCCCCGTCACAAAAGAACAGGGGGGACCCCACCTGCTTCTACTTTACAGGTCCTGCAAACTCAACTCAGACTCTGCAGAAAGCGAAGGCTGCAGAACATGCGTCACTTCCTCTTCTAGCTCCCGGCCAGAATTACTCACGTGTTCCAGCCTAACTACAACAAAGACTGGGAACTGTGGTGGGGTGGGAAGGGGACGGTATGTGACGCTTTGTGAGCGCTGCATCCTCTGCCCGGCCCCAGAACTGGGAACGGTCTGACTCCCACAATCCAGCCCTCTTTCCCATCACTCCCTGGGGGTGGGTGTCGCTCACAGATTTGCTAACACCTCTGTGTGCCCTGTGTTCTAAATGTCTTTCTGTACCGCACACTTGGCAAGAGAACTGAAAACAGATTCGCAGCCTTGGAGAAAGAACCTTGTTCCAAAACTATAAGCAGGCAGCTTCACAGAAGCTGAGAATATTCCGAGTAACTCCAAACCACACAGCACCATATGGCGAGCCTTGGTAGCATCTAAAAAATATGCGCAGAAAGACCTGCACAGAACACATCCTCTCACACACATGTGCCTCTGTCCCCGGATCTGTGAAGCCTCCGAGGTGGATGCAGACCACAGGACTGCACAACAGCCCCAGGGCAGAGCAGAGGACAGTGGGCACACAGGAATGAGCTCGTGAAGGTGCACACCCGCGTGCCATGCACTGAGGCAGGCTGTGCAGCGGGAGCGCTGTTAAACGGCATCAGTTTAGCTCCCTGGCTACAACTGACCAGAGCAAGAGAGACAGACGCTCTGCTCAAGGGCAGCTAAGTTCTAGGTAAAGTGATTCATAAACTGAAAGGCATGAAGTGATGGGAGACGTCAGGAAACACCCAGAAATCTCTGCAGTTTGTCAGCTGCTAGCGGGAGCAGGGGATGAAGGGCACAAAGAGAAAAAAGAGTGTCTCGCTGAAGTGGTGGAAATACACAGTCAGCGAACCCCGAGGGCTGCTTTTCCGGGATATAAAGTAGCCAGTTGCTAGCGCCAGACCTTGCAGGAGCAAGTCACCAAGTGGAAAGCTATCACACTGACACAATGGCCAAGCATCGGAACACAACAACCTCCCGCCACTAAGGGAACAATGAGCCGTTTCGGCCCCCAGAGCTGCTAATCAGATTCTAAACTGTATCTACGGGGCTGGGGATTCAGCTCAGCGGCACAGCGCCTGCCTGGCAAGCACAACGTCGTGAGTTCGATTCCCGGTACCAGAAAACTAAACTAAACTAAACTAAAATAAAATAAAATAAAATAAACTGTATCTATGGCCCCAAAGTCCACCCATGCGGCTGTGCCCCGCTGGCAGGCTCGTGGCTGAGGGCTCCGCCTCCCTTCATCCTGCAAGGTTGTTTACAATAACCTCCCTTCGCTCCTGGCTGTGAGAGGGAATCTCTGTCACTGCCAATCGCAGGGCTTCATCAGGCCATAAAAAGAAATAAACCTCTGACCCCTGCTGTGACACGGATGAAACTTGAAGACGTCACTGAAATAAGCTAGACGCAAGAAGACAAGTATTTTATAATCCAGACACATTATTGTAGATGAAGTACCTCAAATAGTCAAATCCATAGAGACAGACAGCACAGAGACCAGGAGTCGTGGCAGGGTCTCCAGTCCCTGCTCCATCCCACAGCCCCTTGCCTGCTCTCCGTATGCAAACGCAGATAGGCTCAAGCACTGAGAGACCATCCCCCTGCTCTTGGCTTCTCTTCTACTTCTCAAGGAGAAGAGCGCCTAAGGGGATCGTTTCCTCACTCAAACCAGAGCTTGCCTGCCCCTCCCGGAGTGTACCTGTATTGGGCATTACTGCCCCCAGTGCGGGAGAAGCTTGGTCAACAATATTCTGCTGAGTTGAAGCACAAGATCTTTTTGTGGGCATTTCCAGACCTGTAATTGCAGCGAAAGCAGAGGGTGAAGAAACCCTCCAGGTCCCTTGTGCCTGCTCCACCCAAGCAATTAATAATACTGAACCAAGCTGGTCACTGTGGCACAAACCTGTAATCCCAGCAAGTGAGAGGCTGAGGCAGGAGGATCATGCGAGGTTGAGATCAGCCTGGGCTACACAGTGAGTTCAAGGCAGCCTGTACTACATAGCAAGCCCCTGTCTAAAACAAAACAACAGACTGGGGATTTAGCTCAGCGGCACAGCGCCTGCCTGGCAAGCACAAGGTCGTGAGTTTGATTCCTGGTACTGGAAGAAAAACAAAAACAAAAACAAAACAAAACAACAAAAAATCCTGAGCCATATGCTGTCTTTGAGAATCAGAAAAGGTGGCTATGGCAGGGGGTGGGGTGTGGCGGGGATGGTGTCAAATGGATTCTCAGATTTGCTCTCATTCTGATTCTGGGAAGTTTAAAAAGCAGCTACTACTGCAAGATGACATGCAAATGGCGGGGGGAGTAAGACAAGAAGGAACAGGTGTGTTGGAGCACACACCTGTAATCCCAGCATTGTGGCAGGCTGAGGCAGGAGGATCACAAGTTCAAGTCCAGCCTGGGCAATTTAGTGACTTAAATCCGTGTCTCAAAAAAAATTTTTTTTTACCATTCAATGTGTTTTATCGGTACATTTTAGCTCTACATAGTGATCACATTCATCATAGAGCATTTGTACCTGTACATGGTATAACCTGATGTTTCTCCATTCCCCTCCCCTCCCTGCAACCCCTCTCCCCTCTCCTTTGACAAGAGCTTTTTTCTATTTTTTCCTTCTTTTCTCTTTTTTTTACTATTCCCTTCTTTCCTTTCCCTTCCCCTCTCCCTTGTCCCCCTCCTGTCTCAAAAATTTGGTATAACAATAATAATTAAAGGGCTTGGGGCCGGGGATACAGCTCAGTGGCACAGCGCCTGCCTGGCAAGCGCAAGGTCCTGAGTTCGATTCCTGGTACCAGTGAATAAATAAATAAAGGGCTTGGAATGCAGCTCAGTGTGAAGGCCCTGGATTTAACCTTCAGTCTGGAGAGGGGAGAAGGAAAAAGGGGGAAAGGGAAGAGAAGAGAGAAGAGGAAAGAGGAAAGAAAGTCAGGCACCCAGAGCGGGCGTCCCGGGAGCTGTCCGGGGTACTGAAGGCGAGTTTCGCTTCTGCCAGTTCCAGGGCTCAGGAAGTTCTGGTGCAGCCGAGCCTCAGACTCGGAAGGAGGCGAGAGGAGAAAACTCTGAAGAGCGGAAGGACTGGGGTGGGGGGCACAGAAGAAAATAGAGACAGGCATAAGCGTCAAGAGACTGCCGAAGCCAAATCATAGAAACTTTTGATTCAATTGTATGTGTAAATAATAATGGTCACCAAGAAACCCCAAAATGTCCTAAGGAGACATATGGAACAAACGTGGCGGCGCTGGCTGCGGGGTGGCTGCGCTGGCTGCGGGGTGGCTGCGCGCCACACAACGCAATGCATTCCTGTTCTCATGTCGGTCTAGGTAGAAACGGCTCGTCGTGGAGCGGGACACACGGGCTTGACTCAGCAGGACGCCTTGGGCTCCGTTTCTTTCTTATTTTTTTCCCCCTCTCCTAGTACCGGGAATCGAACTCACGACCTTGCGCTTGCCAGGCAGGCGCTGTGCCGCTGAGCTAAATCCCCAGCCCCTTGTTTCTTTGTTAAAAACACTCCCCTTTCTCGAGGTCTGAGGCACGGCCCCCCGCCTGCTCCACCGCTGTGCTCACACAGGCACGTTCTACGGAGGTTCAACAACCCAGGTATGCCGGGCGTGGTGGCGCACGCCTGTAATGCCAGCACTCGGGAGGCTGAGGCAGGCGGATCGTTGCGAGTTCGAGACCAGCCTTGGCTACAAAATGACCTCAAGGCCAGCTTGAACTGCATAGTGAGAACCTGTCTCAAAAAGACAAGAACCCAGGTAGCCGCCGCCGCCGCCGCCAGGAGAGGCGCCGCCGACACCCCGCCACCTGGCTCCGCAGCTCACACGAGGCGCATGCGCGATGTGCGGCGCGGGCGGGGCCTCCGGGCTGGTCCCGCCCCCGGCACGCAGGCCACGAACTCGCGCACGCGCAAAGCAGAGCGTCGAGCGTCGCGGGCTTCGGCAGGGAAAGGGTCGCGGGGCGGGGCCAGCCGAGAGGCGCGGGTGCGAGGCGGAGCCCCGAGAGTGAGCACTGCCGCCAAGACCGCCCGAGCGACAGTCGTGTGTATCAGCAGACAATTTTTAGATGTGAAGCACTCGGAGAAATCACCTTTTCTACAGAAAACAAGCGGGAATCCAAGGGGAGGCCAACAGGAGAGAGGAGAATCCCACTGTAAAGAGACTTGGAAAGCCGGGCGTGGTGGCGCACGCCTGTAATCCCAGCACCCGGGAGGCTGAGGCAGGAGGATCGTTTTGAGTCGAGACCAGCCTGGGCTACAAAGTGAGCTCAAAGCCAGCCTGGACTACATAGCGAGACCCTGTCTCAAAAAGACCAAAAAAAAAAAAAAAAATAGATTTGGAAAACAGAGTAAACAGAGTCATCAGGTCACCTGGGACGAGGAGCAGGAGGGACCTCAGAGTGCATCTGCCAGGAAACCCGAGGCGGGGGAGAAACCAGGAAAGGAAGCCGACGTCCACGCGAACCCCTGATGCTCAGTCGCCTCGGCGGAAATAAATAGAAAAGGTATCAGTCGAAGACGTCCTCCGATCCTGGCCGAAGGGGCTGCCGAAACTTCCTTGGCTTACAGCAGCAAACTCTCAAAAGGACGGACTCTCTGACCGCACCGGTACGCGGCACTGACTCCTAATTTATCGTTCAGCGTGTGCCACACTCTGGGAGCGAAGCTGTGTGCTCCACTGTCCTGGGGTGTCCTGGTTTACCAAGGACTATTGTCAGTGTTTTGTGTGGGGATGTAAGGAGGGGTATTTACAAAACCAAACCAAACAGGACGGTGGGTGGATGTTAAAGACAAACAGGGATCAGAGTAGGGCTGGGAGTCTGAAAACAAGGGAAATGAAACGCTCGACAGGTTGCAAGTTTGTACCTGAGATGCAGTATTTTAAACATTGTCAGAAAAAGTGATATCTACGTATGTTTAAATGTATACATATATGGCAAATTTTCAGCACTACCAGGTTGCATATAGACAGTTCATTTACCTGTAGTAAATTGGCAATTGCATTTATGGAATGGGGAACTGAGAATATAAACTAAATTCTGTCCTCAATTGATTTTTTTCCTTGGCCATTTTTATGACATGAGGTATGAGTGATATTTTCAGATATACCTTTTGTTTTGTTTTGTTTTTTGAGACACGGTCTCGATATATAGTTCAGGCTGGCCTCAAGCTTGCAGCAATCCTTCTGCTTCAGCCTTCAGGGTGGATTACAGGTGTGTGCTACCACGTCTGGCTAAATATACTTTCCAAACAGTGTGGAAGGTTGGGTGCTACGTGAAGAAAAACATTTAAGGATATATCATACTTCAGATGTAGACACCCTGTTTCACTGAATGTAATTTATTTACTGGTTACAAAGAGACTTTTCTCCTCTCAGAGTGGTGCCTGATAACCTAAACTCAGAATATATTTATTACACGCAAAATATTTCTTAGCCACTTTTAAGCAGTAATGTTTTGCCTGAGTGGATGTTCATTTTATACATCCTGATAATTATTTAAATTGTTACTTAACTTCACTTTGAAAGAAAAAAACAAAGCTCAATATTGAAACTAAAAAAAAAAGAAGAAACTCAACTGAAAAAAGTAACTGAAATTAGACAGAGGAAAGCGGTGTGAGCCCCTCTACACCTGTTTGTATGGCATTCGTTAAATACACATTGCCTTGGCAGCGTTCTTACGTGAAGACCTCAGCCGGGTCTGTTCAAGCGATCAGAAACGCTCTTATGACTAATGACCATGCCCTGCGCCTTCTCTCACACGGCACCAAGCGTGCAACTGGACATACAGCAAGTGTGTGATAAATACTGGTTGGCTGATTGATGGAGGCAAAGTAGGGATGTAAACCGGATTTCATTCCAGCAGTGTACTCTCTTTTCTTTTATAATCACAACATTGGGCCAGGCATGGTGGCACATGCTTGTAATCTCAGCACTTGGGAGGCTGAGGTGGGAAAATTGTGAGTTTGAGGCCAGCCCGAGCTACACAGTGAGCCCAAGGCCAGCCTGAACTACCTACTAAGTTCTCAAAACATAAACAAACAAAAATAAAATTACAACATTGGTTTTAGCAGATAAAAACTACAAACAACACAAATGTCCAAGAAGTGTCTTACTTTTCTTATTGCTGAGACAAAATACCCAATGTCCAAAGGAGGAGAGGTTTATTTAGCTCACGGTTTGTGGAGGTTTCAGCCCATACTTGGCTGGCTCCAAGGCAGGGTGGAATGGCAGAGGGCAGTGCAGAGAGAAACAGTTCCTGGCAGGCAGAAGGCAGCAAAGTAGCAAAGCAGCAGCAGCAACAAGCGATAAGCAGCAAGTGAAAAGCAAGCACAGCGCCCTCTTTCTGTCCGCTGTATTCTATCCAGGCTACCCACCCTTCAGGTCAGTGGCACTCACACCCAGGGAGGGCCTTCCTGTTACGCACACCCGGGACCATGCCAAACCAATCACTGGACTAATTTACACATCCTTGATCTCAACATCACACCCTTGATGCCAGCATCACACACCCTAGATGCAGCCACTTCTGAAAAGCCCCACCTATGACCGCATGAGGCTTTGGGGGGACAGCTAGACACAAGCCATAACAAGGAAGTCAACAAATTATGGCATACCAGTCCAAGCAAACAGGACACTAAGCTGTAAAAAGAAGGGAGCCAGTCTATATAACACGTGGAAAACGTCCATGATTTTTTGTTTGTTTGTTTGTTTTCTGGTATCGGGAATCGAACTCACAACCTTGCACTTGCCAGGCAGGTGCTGTGCCGCTAAGCTAAATCCCCAGCCCCTCGTCCATGATTTATGAAGTGTAAAAGAAAGTTATGTCACAGTAAGTGATCTGTAGCTATGACTCCATATTTATTTTAAAAATTAAATTAAGATGGGTGTGGTGGTGCACATCTGTCACTCCAGCACTATAGAGGGCTCGGGGAGGAGGATTACAAATTCAGGATGAGCCTGGGCAACTTAGTGAGACACTTGTCTCAAAAATTACTTTGAAAAGGCTGAGGACACAGGTCAGTGTGAAGGCCCTGGGTTCAATCCCCAGGACCCCACACACACAACAAGAGAAAGGCGATGACCTTCTGTCACTTCCAGCTATCTTCATATATTCATGTCTGGAATCCTAGGAGGCGGCATACAGCCAGGGTTCAGCAACTGGTGAACGACGAGGCAGCACCAAGGGCTCAGAGAAGCACGTCAAGTGCTTTTCAAAAAGTGTGAATTGTGACATTTTCTCTGTTGTTCCAAAACAAACAGGAAGAAAGGAGAGAGAGGACTTCGGACGACTACCCCGAATGCGGAGAGTGTTAGACCGCAGGTCGCTGGAGGAATGTTGACTGCAGGTCAAATCCTAGCTTCGGCTGATTATTTTTCTGGTCTACTTTATCTTGTTTACTTATGAATCAATTTTCCTAATTTATTTTGCAAAGTTTCAAACCTAGATAAAAGTTGCAAGGACAACATAGTAAAAGTGTAGACCCCTCGCCCAGTGCACCAACTGGTAATTTTTGGTCACGCTTGCTTTATGTCTTCCTCTTGTGTGTGCGTGTGCGTGTGTGTGTGCAGTTTCTGCCAGCTCACTCAAGAGTCAGTTATATAAACCATGATACTGCAACTCTGAATACTTCAGCACCTACCTCCTAAGGACGCTGGCCTATTTTTGTGTAAGGCTTACTTCAAAACCATTTAACACGCACAAGAAGTTGCAAAAATAGTACAGGAAGGAGCCAGGGATACAGCTCGGTGGCACAGCTCCCTCTTGGCAAACATAAGGTCCTGAGTTCGATTCCCTGCACTGAAAAAAAAAATTGCAAAAAATAGTACCAGAGTTCCAATGGAGCATTTACCCACCTCCTCTCATGATATCTTCTTACATAACCATAGCCCATTACCAAAACCAGGAAAATGACACTGACACAGCATAGTAATTCAGCTACTGGAGATCTCGATCTCTGTCTCTTTTCTCTCTCTCTCTCTGTCTCTCTCCCTCTCTTGCTCTCTTCCCTTCCTCCATGTCTATCTCCTCTCTTCCTCTTCTCCTCTCCCTCCTTCTCATTTTACAGATTATTATCATGTATATTAATTTGAGTAACAGAACCATTTCATCACCAGAAAACAAATTCCCCGGTGTTACCCCTTTATGGCCACGTCCTCTCCGAACCCTCACTCCTGTCAACCATTGACATGTTCTCAGCAATACAGTTTTGACACTTCAACACTATTATACAAACAGAATCACAAAATATGTACTATGTTGAGATCAGCCTTTTTCATTCAGGAAAATGCCCTTGTGATTTAACCAAGTTGCATACTTAACAATAGTTTACTCTTTTCAATGCTGAATAATATTCCATTGTATGTATCTCAGCCTGTTCATCCATCTGTTGAAAGGCAGGCTGGTCCCTGTGTTATTCTTTTATAAAGAAAACTTCTGTAAACACTCATGGATAGGTTTTGTGTGGACACAGGGTTCAGTTTTCTATGCTAAATATTAAGAGTGAGATTTCTGGGTCACATGATAATACATATTAATTTTGTGAGAAATGGCCGAAGTGTGTTTTATACTCCCACAAGCAGTAGGTAAGAGATCCAGCTTCTCGGAATCCTTCTGCTCTGTTTTTTGTCTTTTTGAGAAAGGGTCTCACTGTACAGTTCAGGCTGGCCTTGAGCTCACTGTACAGCCCGCTGCTTCAGTGCTGGGATTCGCGGTACGTACCATCACAACCAGTTCCAAGAGTCTAATTTTGATGAAGTCGAATTTATTGATTTTTTTTCCCTTGTATGGTTCTCACTCTTGGTGTCAGGCCAAAGACTTTACTCAGTGTCTGTTTTACAATGAAGTATTTTCAATTTTTTAACTCACAAGTTATTCTGTGGTAACTGCCGAGAGGCATAGGGACATAAATGGCAAGCTGTGCTTACGGACCTCCCAGTTCAAGTTCAGCTTGGGCAACACACGGAGAATTACAGCAGAAGAGGATGCGCAGCTAGGAACAAGGCAGTCTGCAAAAGTGTGGGGAGGAAGAGGAGAGCTCCTGGGTGAGAGCGAACACTTTCTTTTAGAGACATCAAAGTAGGCTTCGTGAAGGTGGTGGCATTTGTGCCTTAAGGATTTGAATCTTGAAACAGGACAGAGGAGGACATTCCAGGTCAGGGGGGCGAGCTGCACAAGCAGAGGAATACAGGTGAGACGTGAAAGTCAAATCAAGTAAGTGAGGGGAGTGTGTAGAGGGCCATCCTAAGTTTACTTTTATTTACCTTTTCTTTTTTTTTAAGAGATGGCGTCTTCGTCTGAGCATGACGGCTCACATCTGTAATCCTAGGACTCTAGAAGGCCGATATGGGAGTGTTGTAAGTTCGAACCCCGCTAGCGCAACTAGCAACGTAGGGAGACCCTGTCTCAAAATTTAAGAAGGGCTGGGGATGTAACTCAGTCCAGAGGCCTGGGTTCGCTCTTCAGTACACACACAAACACACATACAAAGAGAAAGAGAAAAAGACAGAGAGATGGAGAGAAGGAGCGAGGAGAGAGGATAGGAGACAGGGTGAGGGAGAAGGAGACTAACGCACCATTGTTGCCTAGGCTGGTTTGAACTCCTGGGCTTAACAGATCCTCCTGCTTCAGCCTCCCAAAGTAGCTGGCACAATGGGTCAATGGGTATGTTCCACTGTGCCTGCTGCTGTTCACTTTCTGGTAGCAGTAATGAGCAAGCACTCATGAGCTGATGCCAAGAGGCAGTTCCATCTATTGACTACACATACAGCAGGCCTTTGACACCACTTCGTATCTCATTTAAATTTCGACTGGGGGTTTAGCTCAGCAGCACAGCGCCTGCCTGGCAAGTGCAAGGTTGTGAGTTTGATTCCCAGTACCGGAAAAAAGAAAAAAAAAAAAAAAAAAGAAAGAAAGAAAAAAGAAAAAACACAAAACAAAACAAATAAATCTCAACGTAATCTCATGAGAGGTAGGTCAATGATTCTGAATCCAAGGTTTCAGAGCGGGTTTTAGGGAAGGCCTAAGAATCTGAATTTAAGTTTTCAGGTAATCCTAATAATTGACTAGGTTTGGAAACCACTCAGTGGACAATCTTATTGCAATCTTTAGATGAATAGCTGAAGTTCAGGAAATAACAGTAATGCGTTCAAGATCACACGGCTAGGAATAATCACGATGCTGAACTAGATCCCTCAGGGAAAGAACTTTGCCAGAAGTCTTCCTGCGGAAATCTCATATGGGAAATGAGCCTTTGGAAAGAGGCGCAGAAGGTGAAGAGCTGAGTCCTGGAAACCTGGAAGCATGGTCAGTGCTGACGAACGCCCCAGAGCCCTGAGCGTGTGGCGCAAGTGAGGACTGGGCACGGCCTAGCAGTGTCTGGAGGCTGAGTGTGACCTCGGGCGAGAGAAGAGGGCCGGGCAGCCCTCAGGAAACCTGACCCGCGGGATGGAGTTACAGGCCGAGCCTCAGCCGAGAGCCTCCTTCTAGGAAAGCTCCGTGCTTAAGCTGCCAGAACCAAACACCAGGCCCTGGGGTCTGGGCGCTGAGGAAGGGGAGGTGGGCGTCCCCCAGGGAGCGTTCCGGTGAGCTGCTGAGACCATGCAGAGTGCAGCCCATTCTAGACTTCCCAGCGCCACTGCCACTTTGGTCTATTATTTAAGCCTTCTGCTTCACTGCTGCTGCATATTTGCTTTGTCTTTGAAGACAAAAGCTTCACTGCTTCTACGGGAGGACGGAAAAGGAAAGAAAAGTGGGATTTCAACCAGAACGTTTTGACACTTTGTAACAGTCCGAGTAACAGGGCTGAGGAGCCTGGGAGAAAGAGCTATCTTGCTCGCTAGGCCGCACTCACACGGGCTGCTGTGTGGCACACCATCCAGGCTGGCTGGATTCTCTCCCCAGGGCAGCCTGGAACCCCGGGGATTGTCTGGTGGACGGTTTCCTGCAATCCTCTTGCCAAATCCAACTCACACCCGGTTCCTTGTGCCTGTGAAGCAGCAGCCTTTGACTTGAAAGAAGAGGATGATGGTAAGTCCTTACACAGATCCAGCCTGCAGAGCACCTTCGCATGCATCTGCTCGCCCTGGCCTGGGGCTGGGGAGGCAGTGGTGTTCTCCCCATGCACTGTGCTTAGCAGTGACAGAGCCATGACCAAACCCACCACCCCTGACTCTGAGTCCAGTGTTCTTTCAATTACATACCAGCTGGCTAAACCCAGCTGCAGGGAAATTAACGTGCCTTCAAAAGTCTCCCTGCACCAACTTTGTAGTGAGGAAAGAGTATTTTCTCTGTGCTTGATAACGGCCTTGGGCAGAGCGCTGCCCCTGAGCCTCAGGGTCCCTCTGGTAAGACAGAGGTAGGGGGTGACGGCGACTTGGAAAGTGGCAAGAACGAGGTAAAACTATGCATAAGTGCTGGTGCCAGGGCTGTCGAACAGGAATTCCCCGGCACCCTTCCACCCTTCATGGGCCCAGAGACCTCAGAACCAGGTCTTTCTGGCTCAAGTCTTGGTGAGCGTTGGGGAAATAGAGGGATAGGCTATGGCATGGCCTGATCACCTTGCACAGTAATGAGCACAAGGCCAAGGCATAGGATCCAAGCCGGGTATGGTGACACAAGCCTGCAGTTCCAGCACTCTGGAAGGCTGAGGCAGGAGGATCACAAGTTGGAGCCCAGCCTGAGCAATTTAGCCCTTAATGAGATACTGTTTTAAAATAAACAAAGGTGGGGGGCTGGGATGTAGCTCAGCGTGAAGGCTCAGGGTTCAATCCCCAGTACTGAAATAAGTAAGACAGGCTCCAAAGTTTCATAAGATTCCTTTTCCCCGCTCCCTTTGGTGGTCTGCCTTCCTTTTTTGCCCATGAGGTGAAATGAAAATGTATCTTAGAACTAGAAGTTCTTCCGAGACCCCAAAAGGCCCACTGAAGTCTGGAAGTCTTGAATATAACTGAAAAGGTCTTTCCGCTGCCTCTCCAAAGCCGTGGCCAGGTGAGCAGAGGGGACCGGCCATCACCTTTTCAGGGCCCATTCTTTGATGGTCCCACCACGTGGCCAACGAGGCCGGCTCCGTCCCCAGCACTCGTCCTTAGGCGGGAGCTTAATCTGTTTGCAGGAGGCAGAAAGCAGGTCTCCACAGCCCGTGAGGTCCGTCTGATTCACGCAGCCTGGACCCTCAGATGCCGGTGAGCGTGACTCAGTGGCCAGTGATGGGCGTGTGGGAGACCCAACGCGCCTACGCAGACGGCAAGGGCACCTCCCTTCCACTGCGGCCACTCCAACTCCTCCCGCTCTCAAAAGAGGACAGGTCTGGGACGCTAAACGGTCAAGATCAATCCAATTTCTTTTCAGACAACGCCTCCAGGTTTGAAAATGCCCATTTTGAGATGTTCAAACAGAAGGTTTTGAAAACAAAAGGCACCTTCACACCGGTCTGTAAGCCCTGCGAAGGCATCCAAGCGACTGCCAGCGCTTCCTCCCCGCCCAGGCCCGAGCCCCAGCCTCGCCCCCTGCTCTTCTTCTGCCCCTCTCGGCCCTCGCCTCTTCCCGGCACGCAGGCGCCCCCCGCCCCCAGGAGCCCCGGCGCGGGCGGGACGCGACGCTCGCCGCGGACCAGCCCGGCCCAGACGCCCGAGGGCGGGGGCAAGCCTCGGCCGGCGCGCTCCCCTCTCGCTGCACGAGCCCGGCTCTTCCGCGGGAATCAGGGGTAGGGGCGAGGCTTTTCTCCAGAAGCCGTGTCCTCTCCAAGGGCTGGGGAACGGCGGGCAGGGTCCGGATACCCACCCAGGGCGCCAGTCCCGGGACTCCGTGGCCGTCCCCGCGGCGCAGGCGGGGCGCGCGCAGGCTGCGGCAGTCCC